TGTTTATGAGCCCGTGTCCGAATAATCGTATCCACGCGTTTTGTTCTTTCTTCTTGTGATGAGATAAATAAAAATCATGAAGAAAATCACAAGAAGAAAGAACAAAACACGTGGATACGAGTATTCCGGTACGGGCCCATAAGCAAAGGAGAAGAAATAACACCCACAAAGGGCTCTCTCTCTCTCACTCTACAGGATCTCAAAGATTTATTTTTTTTTTTTCATTCATACAATTCAATTCCCATTACATGGTGTGTGTGTCCTTCTTTTATACATTTAAAACACCATCTCACGTGACTCTCAAAAGATAATCCCTAATATAAAGAGCAAAAAATGATAACTAACCAAAATAAATCTATCTGTAGATTCTTTCTCTATTCTTCAATCCAACTTCCTAAAAGATAACTACAACTCCCTACGTCATCCTTTCCATCTACGTGATCCATTATTTTCCCTAGTTTTAACCTAACCCAAACTAATTTGGATTTATCCATTTCCTTTCTAAAACAAAAGATAAATACCATACAAAGTTATATACCCTAATAAAACGATCAACCTATTCTATAATACCCACATTTTTATCATAGCTCCTAAAAGTAATATGTAAATGATTCTACCCCACAAAAAGATAAAAATCTATTTCTAAGATTAACAAAAATGGATATTTCCTAGGATAGAAACGATGACCAACTTTTTCAAAAGAAGAAGACTTGGCTTTTAAAAATACGGACTTAATTTTCCTAAGTAAAACGAACTTCCTAAAATTAGACTTTATAAAGCTAAACCAAAAATCCTATTTTTAATAATTAACCCTAATAAATAAAAATAAAAAGTCTACCCAATCTATAAAACTAAAATTAATAAAAACAAAATTAAAATTTTATAGCCACCAAATTTTGATTTGCATCATTCTCCCTTGGTTGGAGAAAACTCGATCTCGAGTTTTGAAGTGTGCTAAAATCAAGTTTGTATTAGTCCCACCACCTTCTTCGATCTGAATGTTGTAAACACGATCCTGGAACCTGTGGGTTACTGCACTGATCAAAACATAATGATTGTGCTTAAAAACTGAGAAACTCTCGAGGAAAGGGTCGTCGTATCTAGATTTTTCAGCCACATAAACTTGCTGAAATTGATCAAATTTTTCCTTAGGGCACACACCACATATTGATCACTAGATTTGGTGATCAAACCAATTTCACCATTTGATTCTCCTTTGAGGTCTTCCACTTCCTCTTCGTCAAATATGATATTCATCAAAGATGAGACTACTTTCATCTGGCTCTTCATCAAATATAGGTTCATCAAATATAGGATCTTCATCAAATATGAGATCACTTTCATATTGCTCTTGTTCTTCATCAAAAACATGAACTTCATCAAAGATAAGGTAACCTGTGACATCAAAGAATGATGATTCCGATTGAAGATCGAAATTTACTTGTTCTTCATCTTCAACGAGTTCTTTATCAAATTTAGGTATCACAAGTAAGGAGTTGTAGTTATCTTTTCGGAAGTTGGATTGAATAATATGGAAAGAATCTAGAGATAGATTTATTTTGATTAATTATCATTTTCGGTTTTTAGTAGGGATTATCTTTTGAGAGTCACGTGAAATAGTGTTTTAAATGTATAAAAGAAGAAGCACGTACCTTGTAATGGGGGATGGAATTTTATGAATGAAAAAAAGTGATCTTTGAAATCGTGTAGAGTGAGAGAGAGCCCTTTATGGGTGTTTTTTCTTCTTCTTTGCTCATGGGCCCGTGCAGGAATACTCGGATCTGCACGTTTAGTTCTTTCTTCTTGTGATTCCCTTCTGGATTTTTATTTCTCTCTCTTAAACGCGTTATTTTTGCCGGATGTGTTTGCCGGTAAATTTTATACTATGTCAAGATATCATCTAAGCAGGGTAAAAAAATGAATTTGCACAAAAAATGAGTCCCTCATTTTCAGTGAAAGCATAATTTTCATTTGATAGAAAGCGGATCAAGGCCTTGAAGATCTCACAATATCTAGACCTTCAAGTACTCAAAAATCAAACCTAGGTCAAGTTGACTTAATCTTGGACATGACCCTAAAAACTTGTTGGCTCCAATTTCTAAAACCGACCCAACCCTCTGGGTCTAGAAGCCTATCCCAGACCCAGATCCAGGTTGGGTCAACCCTTGGCGCTTATGGGACGCCAAAGGCAATCTCAAACCTTCATTTGCCTCCTTAAAACTTCATAAAATCTCTATGTCAAATACCAATTCCCATAATAACTTTTAGTCCAATAACAAATCTCAACTATCATTTTACATAATGATACGAGCCTACTATCAAAAAAAAAAAACTCAAGCACTTATAATCATGTGTGCATTATCTTTTTCCAAAAGTTTGTTGCATTGTCTCTAACATAAACAGTTAAAGAGCTTCTTGGTTGAAGACTTTGCTACCACAGGGAAAGCAATTATACACATTATATGCATGCTAATTCAGCGATCAATCGCTAAGCCAAATCCTGAGAGCCATCAATTTTTGCTCCCTAGGTAACCCTGGACAGGAGGGTCGTTGGGGGGCTTGTTTCAAGATAGTACACTGCAGGTTGTGCCTACATACTGTGGTTCTGTTGGTATAGTGAACTTGACCATGGAGGAATGCCATGCCCTGCTGGAGGGAATTAAACTGCATGATTGTAGTTCGGGCCCCTCCCTCCTTGTCAAGGGAGACTCCTAAAACATTATAGCCTGGGCCTCCAAAAAGTCCACAAATACCCTGACATTTGCAGCACATCTCTTACTAGATTTTTGGACTTTTAGATTATCAATAAGTAGCTTTCAAACATATTTGAAGACAATATAATGCCAAAGCCACTGCTTTTGCTAAGCAAACGGCTTTGGGTTCTCAATTGGTGGTCTCTAGTAACTAGTATGGTTCACAAAGTCGAAGCTATAAACCACCATGGTATTTTCTCTAAACAAATCGCATTCATTACCACCTGTCTCCTCCTAGAAAACATACTTAATAGTGAACCCAATCTAATATTGGTCATAAACTTGTCAATATCAGATTTTACACTACACCAAATAGAGGCAAGTTTATTGGTCTAACTAAGAAGTTTCTTTCACTAAATCTATCAAACAACTTGTGTACAATATCTAAGAAACAAATTTACTACACATTGAAGAATAGCAGCACCACAAACATAGCTTGTAAGTGCTAAATTCCCTCTTTCCAACTTAAGATGTTAGGGACGAAAGGATATAGCTTATTATTCCATTGCCATATAAACCTTACAATGAAAACTCATACCTTTTTCCATAAAATGAGATTTTCTAGTGAAAACCTTATAATGAAAACTCATACCTCTTTCCATAAAATAAGATTTTCAAATGATTAATGAATGACGGATAGAAGACAATCTTATACAATAACTCATTCAAGTAGCAACTCAGGAAAAATTCATACGAAAAATCCAATGCTTTTTTTTTTTTCTGTTTATTTTAGAATCTAGAGAACCTATCAAGTAAATGGGGTGCAGTATCAAGAAAAAATGAACTGTGTAAATTCTCAATAAAATACAATACATACTGTAAATAAAAGAAAATGTAATTTCTATAATTCCAAAGAAAAAAATCTAGGTATTTCAGTGATGACAAAGGTTTTCCCCAATAAACCCAGTTTTAAGATCTATAGAAGCTAATTTAGAGAGAAACACTAATTAGATTACCTTAATTTTTGAGAAAAACCTAAAATACCCTAGATTACATTAATTCTCTATAAATGTGTGGAAATTTTTGTTGAAATAAGGCAAAATACTGCAAATTTTTAAAATTTTAGAGAAAACCCCTGCAAAATTTATTGATGTTCACAGTATTTTTTTTGGTAAGATCCTAAACTCTAGGTTTTTCAGAACCCCATTACATAGAAAACCATAACTTCAAAGGACCAAACGAATAAAAAATCCTAGTTCTCTGTAAGCATGTTGAAAATTTTGTTAATACTTTAAAATTTAAAATTTAGAGAAAAGCCATGAATAGAAGGGCTTTTCAGTAAAATCCTAATTTCTAGCTTTGTAAAAACCTAATTTCATAGAAAATCATTATTTCAAAGGAAAAACCTAATTAAAAATCCTAATTCAAACTAAACCCCTAATACAAAGTGAACCCTAATTTCAGAGAAAAACATTATCCGGTAAAATCCTAATTTCGCTAAAGCTAATCTTGAAGAGAGCCTCTAATTTGAGAGAAATTAAATTTTGTTTAAAAGTATATCTATATGAAAGCCATGCTTCACAATGAAGATCACAACGGAAGAGGAAGAACCTGACACGATGCTTTTGAATCAGTGGAAATCCCTGTGTTTAAGAAGCCAGAGAGTGAGCTAGGCTCAAGCATAGTTAGCAAATCGTTGTTTAATCGTCGATTTTTTCAAAAAATCACGTAGATTTCATAAAACACGTTTAAAACGCGTTTTTTTCATATTACGATTTAAATCAAGCCAAAAAATCGTATCTTTTTTTACCTATGTTTTTTCTTTGTTTGTTTTCTTCCTGTTTTGTGTATTGCAGCCATTATTACTTTCATGCTTTTGAAAAAAAAAAATATTATTTCGAAAAAAAACCTAAAATATAAATTTTTATCCCCACTGTGTTCTTCAAAGCCACAGTTGCAGACTGAAGGTATGAATTTTTTTTCCATTTTTTTTTAAACTTAAACAAATAGATACAGATTTCAGTTGTTATTATGGAAAATCATTGTGTAAATAAAATACTGTTTATAGCAAACCGTTTTGGAAAGTAAATCATTGCGTAAAGAAAATCATATACATGCAGATTTCTGTGATTATTTGTGATAATTGTTTTTATGAAATACTGTTTATGGCACAAATTAGAGCTCAAGATATTGTCTTTTACTGATGAATGAGAAGCAGAGAGTGTGACTACAGGACCAAGAATCAATATTTTGTTTTTGATTATGTGATAACAAAGATAAACAATATAGTGTAAACTGTAAACTGACAGCAGCAAGCAATTGTACATATAGGATTAGTTGCCCAAACCTAATCCTTCAGCTCTGCTTGCTGTTTCCCCAAGAAAATGAAAAACCTGCTTCCTTTTCTCTCTCTAACACTAAGGTAGAGCCTCTTCACAAATGAGTATAATTAGGGCTTTCTCTCGAACAACATCCCAAATCAGAGAGGAAAACCCTCTTCAAACTATCCAAAATCAGCATCCCATCTTCCTTTTCTCTCTCTAAAAATCGGTTAGGGCCTCTTCCATTAGGGTTTGTGAAGCCGATGACCTCTTCCTCCTCTTCCTTCTTCCTCTTCTTCTCTCTCTAAACGGTAAACACAGATATGTAAAACCCAAATTTTTACGAGACTCTTATCAATTAAAGGAATTTATAAAACTTTAACCATAGCGTACCATGATTAAATCATTGCGATAAGAAAACAAAAATCATGTATTTTTTTTTCCCTCATGAATTGGTGCAATATTTAAGTATTTAATGAATAAGTTTATATAATACATTTGTCATTTATTTAATAAATAAATTTATATAGTATATTTGTCTTTGGTATGTAATAAGTTAAGTGTGATGTTGCTTAAAGTATTTAATGGGTAAATTTATATGGTATATATATATTTTTAGTATATATTAAGTAATTATGTATTTAATATTAAATGATTGAATGAGAATCACGAGATATCTAAATTAATTGATTTAGTTATATCAGTCCAATAAAGTTTTTATGAATGAATTAATTATAGGTGCAGTTTGTATAGAGCCTAGGCTCTAAACAATTAAATTTGAGCTTACTTTCAAATAAAAAATGTGGTTTCAATATTAGAAATTTTGGTGATCGCTTTAAAATACATTTTTATCTTTATTTATAAAGGTTAAAGCTTCAAAAATAGTGTAAATCGACAAATCTTGAAAATGGACGGTCCAAAAATGTGCTACAACATATACTATTTCCAAAACTTGAAATTCATTTTTTTCTCATGTCCATACTTCTTGGTATCAAGATGAACAATTTGAAGATATTTGGGCATCAAAACAACCTCTTCTAATGAAATTTTTGTAGTAGGCTCCAATTTGATTGCTTAAAGTCTCAGCTCTATAACAACTTTTCCCATTAGTTATTGATGGCTTGGACATAATTTTTATTTTTTAGATTTCAAAATTTCTAATATTATAAATTTATCTTATTTTTTTACTCTGATTTTTTTAGCCTACTCCGATATATTAATGATATCTCTGTATGAAGTATTTTTGTTGATCTGTATTTTTACCTAATTTTTTTATCCCACTTTTTAAAATAAAAACGATTTATTTTCGATTTTATGGTGAGCCGATCAAGTAATAAGGGATCATAGTGCGACAGGTTAGAGAGAGAATCCTTCAGAAGGAAGCGGTCCCAGAGTTGACTTTGCAGGCAGCTCGCAGTGATTTCAAATCTGGATCGTTGATGTGGATAGGAATAATAAATAAATAAATTTAAAATTTTAAAAACTATAATTTTATTAAAAAAAAATTTAGACAGTTAGTTTCAATTGTTTTTAAATGGATCACCTATTTGTATCCATATTTAAGATGGATGCTTTATACCTCGAGGACCGCAAATGTAGAAATGTGGTCCTTGTCGCATGAAATAATTTCCTTTCTTTTTAAACTTATCTAATATCTTTCTTATTTATCTAAATTTGCATCCTATAAATCTCTATTGTATTTTATTTATTTTAAAATATTTTTATAAATCACTAATCTAGACTCAATCTGGATCATTAATCTCATGATCTCACACACTTGTGAGTGCCAATATGAGATTTAAAACATTGTAATAAAGTAGAAGATGTAAAGAAGAGTGTCAAGGTAAATTTTCATCTAACCTATTTATAAATAGAAAAATATGTGGAGACCATTTACTTTCAGTACAAAGAGGTTATAATCATTATTGTTTGTTAGATTTTAAATCAGTTGATTGTAAACGTGTCATTATTAAACTCAAAGCTCAAAACTCAAAGCTCATTATTAAACCTATATCTTTTTGGACTACTTTCAACCACATGTTTTTGAAAAAACTATAAAATAAATATTTTCAAAATATAAAATGACCAAAATATTCCTAGAAAATGACAGGGGTAATTTGGTTATTTAAATTTACTGAAAATATATTTTTTATATTTTATATGGTTCACAATAGTGTCAAGTATATATACTCAAAATTTCATCTTAACCTAATTTATAAAAAATGATTAAAATTCAAATAATGATATGTATTTTGAACCAACCGATGAAGATTTGATAACTGGGATTCTACCTATATTACTATTTATTATAGCTACTGGTATTTAGTAGTTTTACTCAAAAAACAAATGTCACAATGCAAATTCGAAATAAGCTAACAATGTAAAAGGAATTTGGGACATTTTTTCTCTCTCTCTCTTCAAAAATCCCCTTTTAATCTCTTTTGTTTTTCTTTTTTAACTCCCTTCAAGGGTGAAATCCCAATAAATCCAACCATGAATTTCTTTTCTCAAATTTAAAGTTATCTATTAATAATAGTTCTCAAATTATAATTTTGCATTCCACCCTTCATTGCCACTACTAACATATCAAGAGAAAAAAAGGGAAAAGATGTTTCTCAATTGTAGTATTTAATTTGTTTTTACAATTTTAAATTCAATTAGGCTTACTTATCAAATATTTAACAACTTGATTTTAAAATTATGCGTATGAAATAAAATTATTCTAGTTGTGATTTAACTATTAAAACATACAATATAAAATTTACTTGAAATAAATTATACATTTATTTTATTAAAAAAGTGAAATTGCATTTAGATAATTTTTTTAACAAAATTAGATGATTAGTAAAATATTTTATTTAAAGGATTCACATTCTTTTTACTACAAAATTGAAATTGCATTTAGATAATTTTTTAATAAAATTAGTTAATTAGTAAAATATTTATGTTTAAATGAATCAAATTCCTTTTTTTTTTAATTCAATCCACAACATTTATGTCAGCTTTTTTGTGTGAATGTGTCGCTTTCTAGATGACCCCTCTAGAAGAAAGAGGGATTTGAATAAATAGTTCTAGTTACTTTGTTCCCTATTTCTATTTGTAATGATCCTAAGGAAAATATTTTATTTCCACTGAGCCAAAACTAAATACTTTATTTTTTAAACATTTTTTTTATGAATTTCTTTTATATATTTTAGGGCTTTTTGTCCCTATACTTGACTCGACGAGTCTACTCAAACTCTGCCGCGCTACTCGGCTTGGACTAGGGTGGATTCTGAGGCTTGTACCAAGTTTAAAAGCATTGGTTTGGATCAAAGCATGAATGAAATTTAAATAGTTCAGAGGTTCGGGCGAAAATTGTTGAAAATTTCGCTGAATTTGATTAAGATTTTTGTGAAATTTTGTTCAAATTTTTTTAAAAGCATGTCTGAGAAATCATTCAAAAATTTCACTAAAATTTGCATTAAATCATCCAACCAACTGGAGTTTACGAAATTTGTAGAAATTTTAACCGAAATCAAGTGAATAATTCTCCCATTACGAAGATGGTTATGAGTGATTCAAAATTGCCTGATTTATAATACATTTCTATATAAAAAATTTGGACAAAAAGGATTATTTGAATAATATGAAAGTCGAAGATGGTTTTGAGTGATTCAAAACTGTCTGATTTATAATATAATTCTATATGAAAATTTTGGATGAAAAGGATTATTTGAATAATATGAATTCTTTGAAATGTTGTTCAAATTTTTTTAAAAGCATGTTTTGAGAAATCATTAAAAAAATTTCACTAAAATTTGCATAAAATCATCCAACCAAATGGAGTTTACAAATTTTGTAGAAATTTTAACCGGAATCAAGTGAATAATTCTCCCATTACGAAGATCGTTACGAGTGATTCAAAACTGTCAAATTTATAATAGAATTCTAAATGAAAATTTTGGGCGAAAATGATTTTTTGAATAATATGAAAGTAAAGAAGATGGTTTTGAGTGATTCAAAATTGTCGAATTTATAATACAAATTACAACAAATTATGCACGAGCACCACCCCTACTTAGGGGTGGGAATTTTTCGGATCGGGTTCAGATCCACCTAGATCCTAATAGGATGACAGTCATAGACATAGAACACTCAAAAGCTACTAACAGATGACACTCACAAAAGCTACTCTTATAGAGCTAAACTCTTGAAATCTCTAAACTCCAGATAAGATTTCTTGGACATAATATCTATAAGGTAACAATTATTCCAATTGAAAGGGCAATACAATTTGCAGAAAAATTCGCTGATGAAATTAAGGATAAAAAACAACTCCAAAGATTTTTCGAAAGTTTAAACTATATTTCGGAGTTTTTACAAAGATCTCGCTATAGACTATAAACCCTTATTCCAAAGATTAAAAAATAATCCTTCAGAATTAACTGAAGAACATACTAAAGCAGTTAAGAAAATAAAGCTTAAAGCAAAAGAATTGCCTTGCTTGGCAATTCCTTATTCTAATGCTTTCACAATTGTTGAAACTAATGCATCTGAATTAGGACTAAGAGGAATTCTTAAACAAATATTCTCTAATGATACAAAAAAGCAACTGGTTAGATGTACATCCACAAATTGGAATCTGCCACAACAAAAATATTCTACTGTTAAAAAAGAATTTTTGGCTATTGTGCATTGTATCACCAAATTTGAAAGTTACCTCTTAAATAAGAAATTCCTAGTCAGCACGGACTGCAAAGCAGTTAAAGAAATTTTAGAAAAAGATGTTAAAAATCCAGCATCAAAACATATTTTTGTAAAATAACAAGCTAGAATCTCTATATTTGATTTTGAAACCGAACACATTAAAGGTGAATCAAATTCATTGCCTGACTTCTTGACATGAGAATTTCTACATGGACAAAAGAAAGTATAAGACTTTGGCTCTAATTCAGAGTCCAAGTAAGTGAAAGAAAGACCTATGCGATCTTTTTTCAGGGAATAATTTTTCTTTTTATATCGGCCCTTTTGTTTTGGCAAAAGATCACTTACAGGCGGTCTTATTACAACAACATATACTTCAAAATAAAATCAACATGACAATAAAACCAAGATCATAAAACTTGATGCTATTGAAATAACTATCCACTATGCTTGAGAATAAAAAATAAGATTGCAAGAAATAAATGAGAAGAGTACCGGATATTACTTCAACCAGGCTTATTATACCCCACACCGAGTCACCACCATCCGATGGCGCGTGA